TTTAAAAAGAAAAGTCATTTTACTCGAAGTAATCTACAAATAAATAATCTTACTATAACAGAGGTTAATAATCAAATACTATAGTTTCAGTCGAACATAATTGTAAGAGAAATACAAGTTACTACATTATATTAAAAGAGAAGTATAGATAAGGTATGCAGATAAGAACTTGAAACATCATGACATCCTTACCTTCCACTTTAAAAAGGTCTGAAAAATAAAATTGATTCTCTGTTTGCAAACAAAATAATATATATTCTTAAAAATCATATGAAAAATATATTGTAACGACCTAAGTAGACTATCCAAGGAAATTTATGCTATAAGCACAAGTAAATCGGTGTTACTTGTTATGTTATGAGGATTCCCAATATTCTCCTTAATTTTCTATTTTCTATGCCTTCATATATTGTGCTCGACCATCTTGTTCTTTTTCTATTTCTTTAAATTTGATTTTTTAACTTATTTTTACTACTTTACCTTAAAGTGATCTTGAAGTTCTCATTTCAAGCATTTTTAGTCATGATTAATCTTGTACTAGATCCTGAGATATATGTATGATTTATATTTAATAAGTTTAACTTTAAAAAAAAATTAATATTGAACACATTGTACTTCTAAAACTACGGGTTCAATACTTTGTTTTTAACATGTTGAATACTAGACTACTTGAGATGTCTAAATATATACTTGTACAAATAAAAGTCATTATGAATTCACAAGTTTAAGAAATTTAATATACTCCCTCCGTCCCATTTTATGTGAGGTGGTTTGATTCAGCACGAAATTTAAGAAAGAAAGAAAGACTTTTAAAATTTGTGGTCCAAAATGAAAAATAGAAATTTGTGTGACTGTAAATTATTTCATTAATGGTAAAATAGACATTTTATAGTTAAATTGTTACTTAATATAGAAATGTGTCATTCTTTTTTGGATTGACTAAAAAGGAAAGTAAGTCACATAAATTGGGACAGAGGAAATAATAAACAAGGAAATCAAGTTTATTATCTTGCTAGATATTGTGCTTGTGTAGTGATTGTGGTAAGAGTGATTGTGGCAAGACTAAGAGTCTGTTTGATTGGACTTGTAGCTTTTAAATTATAAGTCAAACGTTATAAATTAGAAATTCTAACTTATGATTTATTTTTATCTTTTTGGTTTAAAAACAAGTTCTTAAAGGCACTTTTTTTTACCCAAATACTACAAAAATTATTAAAAGTTATTTTGACTTAAAAAGCTTTAAATAAGTCAATCCACTAAGCTCCTTAATGAATGTGTACATTTACTTCATCAGACACTACAAAAAAAGCCTAAATAGTGAGGGTTTATTTTAGAGCAACTTTTACATATAGCAAACACAAAATTCATATTTGTATGCTATAGCAAAATTTGCATATTTGCACTACATAGCAAACATATATATGTATAATTCGCTATACATATACAAAAAAAAACAGTTGTATAATCTGCTTTGGTATACATATACAAAAAGATCAATTGTATAAAGTGAGAGAGGCGAGTGAGCGAGCGAGATCTGGGAGAGTGACGAGCGAGATCTGGGAGAGGGGAGAGAGGGAAACGAAAAAATATGTATATGTACAATTTTCACGCATTTTATACATTTGCGTTTTTGTATAAAGTGAGAGAGGCGAGTGAGAGAGCGAGATCTGGGAGAGTGGCGAGCAAGATCTGGAAGAGGGGAGAGAGGTGAACGAAAATATATGTATATATACAATTTTCTCTCGCTTCATACAAACACAAACGCACTTTATACACTTGTGTTTGTATAAAAAACGAGAGAGGCCAGGGAGAGAACGAGAGTGGCAAGCGAGATTCACCAGGAAAGAGGTGAAATAGCAACAGTTTGCTATGAGGTACAATTAAATTAAACTATATTTAATTTGAATTAATAGTTTGTTATTATATACAATTTTCCCGTCCTTTTTGCTATTATATACAATTTTCCCTTTATTTTACATACTATGGGGGTTAGAAACCCCCACAGTTTGTTGTAACAAAGGTTTCAGCAACCTCCGGAGTTAAGTCTGCCATAATTAATTTGTGGGGATTTTTCACTAACCCCTATAACAAGCAGCAAGGGTTATTTTGTGACGATTTGAACCCCACAAATTGATTCTTAGAAAACTACCATTTAATTTCCAGGAGTCACAACCTCTGATAGTAGTAACAAAATAGTAGGGGTGGAAACCCCCACAATTCATGAAAATATAAATATCTTCCTATATTTTTGCCATCCGTGGAACAATACTCTAAAGCTAATTAGGTCAATAATAATTCGAACAATCATAAATTTGTACACGTAATGATAGTGTTGCCAGCAATCAAAAAAACATTAGTGGGTACTTTCACATTGCTAACATAAAATTGTTTATGTATCATTTGGCTGGGAGAGCATAATAATGTCGTGTATGTATTCAACTCCACTACGAGTAAATTGATATTATCCCTACTACCCCGATCAATTGCTAAACACATCATTCACTCTAATCATTATGACATCCGGTCCAATCATGCAATTACATCATCGAAACTATCTAATACGATTGCGAGACACTAACGTTTGCCACTATAACAATTATCACCGGATGGTCTTGCGTCCATGGAGGAAAATGGTTCACTAGCCACATCTTGGCTGCAAAAAAAAAAAAAAAAAAAGCAGAACAACAAAACATCATAAGCAACATCAGTTTGACATAACTTAATTTAAGACCATAAAATTCAAAAATCTTACGTATTACTTTCTTAAACATCATAACCAACGGTGACTGAACATTTTCTTCACTAGCAGGGGACTATCAAAGTAAAACGAACAATGGGAATATAATGGACAAATTTGGCTAATATCCCACTTAATAAATGAAAAAGAAAAGAACTTGATAAGTTTATCAGTTTAACAGAATATATATGGGATGAAGGAGGAGAAATGTCTAGTTTTCGGCGTCCAGGCTTGTCTCTGATTACAAATTGTAGGCAAAACTTCAAATTTGTACCAAAATATGTTGTTTGATATGGTCCTTTCTGCCATTTATGGGCCATCTACTTAAATTATTAGTTGTCCAGAAGTAGTCCATACCTCTGTATGGCATCGGTGTAGACCTCAAGTTCTTTTAAAATGCCATAAGCATCAAATGTGTCATCTACTATCGAAATCATTGCTAGTCTTAGCAAACATGACACGAGCCTGAGAGTACTGAGGTTCAGCATACACTCCCACTGTCCAAAAGTAGCATTCGGCAGCTATAGCCCTAGCATATGGAAGTGTTATCACAAAATCCAAATCTTTCCACCACCTACAAAATAAGTACGAATGTTAGAATTAATTCGAGAAATTACTATCAACAAACAATTTATATTTTTGATGTTAATTAACAGCTTAATTACCTTGATACTTCACTGAGTTCTTGCTTGTGCAACATCTGGAGTAAGTTGAAATCCAGTTTTGCAAATCGGAGCAACACATCATTCTTAAATTCCTCCTCTTCGTAGATGGAGATGAAGTAGCGTGTCTCAACTCTTGGAATGCTCTTATGAAGAGATTTCACAAGTGCATGTGTCACTTGTTTACTCAGTGGTGACTTCAAATGTGGAGCTGCAGACTCAAGATGAGCAGTAGAGAAAGCAAGAACCTCTTCTAAAATATCTTCTCCATGAGTCCTTACATGTGAAGCTTCGTATAAGTTCAAAAGACCCTTGATGTCGTTGCCAAGGGATTCATTAAATTTTCCTTTTGCATCTTGGAATCTGCTAAAGAGTTCTGGTTCAAGTTGAAAACAAAAGAGTAATCAATTAAAAGTCAGTGGCGTAAGCAAGAACATAATAATTATATATAAAAAAAAATTAGAAAGTAGTAGCGCTTAATTCTCCAATTCATATAGTAGTGTTTGATAGATATATTACTTGGAGAGATGTTGTAACCATGTTGTCTTAGTAATCGAAATTGAACAGTTGATATGATAATTCTAACTTTTATCTTCATTTCTTATGTTCGAATTTGTCAAAATGGAGTACAAGAGAAGTCAGCACAAGCTCGCTGATCAAGTTTACGGGATGACCACATATTCTCCCATGGATGGAAGGAAATGAAGGCATCATGAGAGGACTTAAATGAACAAGTTTATGAAGTTCTAACCTTGACTTTTAAGCTAACACATTTATTAGCTACCGACCTTGAATTTTAACAAATATACTCATATTTTACTAGATCCAAGTTTCTTGAATTTCATTTTACAGGTTTTACCACACATAATAGTGAAACATAAGATATCATTAATACTGATGCATAGCAATTCAGCAATTCTGAGTGATTACAACACAACAACAACATACCCAGAAGATTCTCACAAGTGGGATCTAGGGAGGGGTGATGTACACAGACCTTAACCTTATGCTTGTGAGGTAGAGAGGTTGTTTCCGATAGAACCTCGGCTGGAGAAAATACTAGGCTTCTTGACATCAGTACCTGAGGGGGTAACAAAGTGGGCCATTTTATGCCTTAACTAAATGAGCAAATAAAAACATGCAGCAAGGGCCTCAGAAAAATACTAGCCTTCTTGACATCAGTACCTGATTAAGTGAGTTAATAGGTCCATCTCAAGAACAAATCTACTTTAACCTAAGCATTAATGTTCCACCCACAACAATAGTCAATCATAAGCTACTCCCTCTTTCTTTTTCTTCTTCTTTTCAATAACAGTGTTGTCTAGAGTTGTCTAGGCCAGATTGCGCGCACCTTGACTATTTTGGTACTCTTAAGGAAGCATGTTATGTCAAACTATGGATAAATAAACCATTCGTGTTAATATATAGCAGTGAATGGTGTAATACACCTAATACAAAACAAGCCCATGATCTGGACATAATATAAGATTCAAGGTTCAGAGAAAATGACTTTCATTTATTAGAAAGGAAAAACAACATAAACTTACCTCCAAAGATGATCAGGATAATACGTCTTCAAGCAATCCAGGTGTTTCTCAAGGTTATGGCCCATCCAATCTTACTCTACTAATTGACTCTCCATTGTGAAGAATCTGCAGAATTCTCTCCCGGACTTCATTCAGAGGCATGGCATCTCGTAGATTTACCTCCGTTATACCAGTAATTTCATACCTGGCACAAAATGGTGAGGAAGTGTGGAAAGGTGTAATGCTAAAAATGTCACCTGATACTATAAATAGATATGTTTATTTGACAGCAAATACCTATAATCAGTCACAGGAATCTGAGGTAGAACAAAAGTGTGAACAATAAGCTTCTCATCTTCGTCAACTAGGCATACCCTTGCACAAAGGTCTAGTGAGCAATCACTCCCCCCTCCAACCATTTCACAATCTATGGCAACTGCTTCCCGACTTCTTATGCTGCTAATTCCATTACTTATATCCACTTCGTCTTCTGAATAAAACATCTCTATTGTATCCTACAACAATTATACATACACATTCCAACAACTCTAGGTTTTGGTCATGGAAGATGGTTAGTTTTTTTACCTAATATTTTTTTTAGCGTCTTCTTAGGACAAAACAACATCCCTTGATCAACAGGTAATCAACCGTCACCACACCATAATGGGGAAATCCACCAATAGGAGTAATATCTTTATCGGTCCTGTGAAACTCAAGCGTGTTAATAAGTAGTGACAATCTTGAATTGTTGGTTTGATGCAAGGTATAGCTGAAATTGCTCGCCATTCAATTGTCGTTCATCACAAAAATGGTCAATCAGTGTTTTAGGTACTGAGCTGCATTTGTATAGAAGCAACATCAACTCTCCAAGGATAACAACAATGGGCGCGCATTTCCGAATGAAAGCCTAAAGTCATCAAGTAATGAATTCATAATGAAACAATGTCAAATATCCACCAGATACACATACTTAAATATAACAAATGAGACAATAATCATCATTAACAGTATTCATGAAGTCAAGCATGAAAGAGTGTAGTTGTAGCTATTTATACCCAAGTCATTAGTAGGGCGAAATTTAGATTTAAAGAGCATTATAGAGATCAGAGACTGTCACACTGTAGCAGTGCAACTAGCAAGACCACCAAATAGAGCATTTAGCAAAGTCACTATTCCCTGCCAGGAGTTACAGTTCATGATGTAATAAAGGTCAATAAAGAGAGGATAGAAGAGAACATTTGATCTCACCAGTCAGTCAACACCCTGGCTAATGAAGGGTGTCACTTGTGCAGCGCTGCTGCTTCCATATCTTGTTGATGCAAGTAATACACCAACTGATTGCACAACAAAAGGATTCAAATTGAATTCAAAACTAGATTTCACTATGAAAATGAAAGACCACAGTACGAAAAACAATTTATAACTTATTTCTTGCAGCCTACTTTTTAAGCAACATTAGATATGCGGACTATGTTATATATCAATCGCCAACAAATAAGTAAGGGATCAGAGAACAGACTTTCACAGAAGCAACAAAAGAAGCGATCATCCTAGGAAACCTACATGCTACATGCTATTCAAAGCACACACATAGGAGTTTACACAAAATTAAAAAATGGTGAAGATGAAAGAGTCAATTGCAAAAAAAAAAAAAAAACACTAAAGTTAACCCGAAGAAGAAAGGTATACTAGGAACACACAAATACCTGATTCAAGATTTCATGGTTCGATTGGAAGAACTTCACCGGATTTGAGAGACTGGAGGGTGAGACACCGAGAGAACTACATGTGTTTACCAAAAAGACATGGTTATCTACAAAAGACACGCCAAATCCTCTAAATAATCCGGAACTACATGTGTTCACCAAAATTAAATAAGGGATCAGATGTTACTCCTCAACTGAACAATAACCAAATGAAATCAGATTTTCATGTCCTATGGCGACAAGCATTCCAATAAGTTCCAGAGCTATTATATACAAACATTTCAACAAGTCATTACTTTATTAACAACAACTCTAAAGAAAAGTGACATATCCAAGTTAATGATAATACCACCTTCCTAGCCAACCAACATATTTCATTTTTTTTTTTTTTTTTTTTTTTTGATAACCGAGAAATCCGTCTGTGACCCACCCTTTGGACCAATCACAGCCTTCTAAACTCGGTGGATAATGGACCCGCCCCTCATTTTTGTCTCATTCTATTCTTTTTTTTTCCTTGAAGAAAGCTTCAATTTTAGCTATCAAGTAGTAATGCTAAAACAGAGTAAAATCAACCTGAAAATGCTTGTATTAAATAAATTTTAGGTAAAAGAACTAAATTTAAGCATTTAGAATACCTGATTATCAGGAATTAGTGACACTTGTGCATAGACCTCCTTCGACACAGCATCTGCCGGTAATCAAACACATGGAAACCGAATGCCAAGTAATTGAAAAAATATTCAAAAAATTTTATCGACAAACCTATACAAGCAAATATTTTAACCAATATGTACCAAATCTTCAACAAAATTGACACTAACAAGAGAAGAAGTATACTAAATTGTATTATAAGCTATGGACGGATACTTGGAGAGATTTCCGAGTGACCTTGAGGTAGGCATACTTCCTTTCTTCGGCGCAGCGAAATTAACGGTCAACACATGCATGCCAGAGCTCTATCACATTGATGATTGATGTCACCGCCGACAGATTTGACGCCAAACTTCCAGACGTCTTTGCCGATGCTGCCGGTGAATCCAATGACACCAGCGCCGTTGTTTCTTCTCTGACATAGTGTTATCTGTAGAAACCCTAAGGTGTAATTAGTGCACAACTATCAAATTTGAGAAAAATTGGACGGAAGAGGAGAAATGGCATTGGGGAAATGGAAGGAAAAGAAAAGGTCCCCACCTTAATATTATGGAATTTTAATTTTTGAGGATTACCAGGGTTATTGATTCCCACAAATTGCTATGAAATTAGAAGGGTTATTCAAACCTTTGCAATTAGATGCAATTTATCGAGTTATATTAACCTCCTCAATAAAATCCCTAGAATTTAAGTGTTTTGTTTGTAGTGAGAAGATGATATACTACCCATATTTATTAGGGTAACATCTTTCACTTAAGTTTTAAATTATTAATTATATTTTTAATTTAAACACCATATGCGATTAAGAGGTCAGCTATCCGAAATTGCAAAGCTAGCATACACATTTCTGTTAAACTGATTTTGAGAAGTATACAAATATGACAAATTTAGAAAGTGCACATCAAGATCTTGAACATGCTAGTCAGGATTTAATGCATATCAGAATCTTGAACACACTAGTTAAATTGAGGATGATGTTACAAAAAGATGTGGAAGACATTATATCATAGTAACCCGAAAGCGTAAATGACAACTTTTTTCTACTGTCTAATCGTCAATAATGGAAAAGGTGTAAGTCTGTAAGAAAATATGTTGTAACCCTAATGGATGAATGGGGGACCAATTTATACAGGCTCAATAAGACTTGATTTGGTACATCCATCAAATCACTGGTGTATGTATGAGATCTTTTCTTCATTAAATATTAGTTATGAACTTTACATTAATTGGGCCACAAATAAAATAATAAATAAAATTTTGCCACTTGGCCGAATGACCACATAACATTAATAATGACATAAATATTAGTTTTGCATAAAAGAAATCTCTTATATAATAATGTCCATCATATATTATATATGGGGGCCATATTGGCCAATTTTCAGTAGTTTCAAGTCTTGAGATTGTGTGATCTATGTTTGGTCTGCGGTTTTAGCGCCTACCCGAGTTTGGGGCATGATAAAGTTGGTATTAGAGCATGTCATATCCAAAGGAGTCTACAAGTCATGTCTAGTAGAGTGTTGCTTATGAATGTGTTGTGCATCACACTCTAAGTTGCTCAGACTCGAGTGCAGGTATCCGAGACGGATGCGAATCCGAGAGTCGGATTCGGCAAAATTTAAATTTTAAGATTCGGGGGTGCGAATCTGAGTATGGATACGGGTGCGGGGATACGGCTAATTGGTATACATGGTATATATAATATAATGTGTAATATATTATATATACATAGTATAATTGTTTATTATTTTTAGCGTACCTCGAAAAATAAATTATATCAATAACAACAATAATAATATATCTAGTATAATCAAATAAGTGGATATATATTTATATATATATATATATATATATATATATATATATATATATATAATAAAATATTATTAAAAATATTTATGAAATATAATTAATAATGAATTGCATATTTTGGTATAATTACATATAAAATAAAAGGAGTATAATTGTTAAAGAAAAGAGAGAATATAATAAACATTAAAAGTATTAATTTATTTTATAAATATAAAAGGACACACTTATCTAGAGAAACCCTCAGCCTTTAGTTATCTTTTTCAAGAAAAGTTGAAAAGTTGAAAAGACTTTACTTTTTCAAAAAAATAAAAAAGTTGTACTTCCTGTACTTTTTCAAGAAAAAACTCCTCCTCTTTCTTCTTCTCTTTACTTTTTCAATGAAGAAAAAACTCCTCTTTCTTCTTCTTTTACTTTTTCAAGCTTCTTACAGCTCCGCCGCCTCTCTGAAGAGGTCGCCGGAAACTGATCTCTTTTTCCCCAAATTTTTTTTTCGGCTCTGGTCAAAGTGTCCGGATCGGATTGACCGAATCCGACACGCACCCCGCACCCGCACCCGCACCAGTGTCGCGTCAAGACGGGTTCGCCTTCAAAAATGAAGAGTCCGCGCAACATAGATCACACTTATAATCAGGAGACTATATGTCATTTCGGATTAGTTACTATATTTTTCATCTTTGTGAATGAACCCATTATTTCACTTGACATACTCCGCGAACAAGATTTCAACTTCAAACTACCTATATCAAGTTAAACAAAAATCAAAGATTAAATCAATATTACCATTCAATAAAATCTCCATCATCATTTTAAATCTAATAGCTTAGCAACACTAGTGCCAAAGTACCATTGCAATATTAGCATACTGTTTTCAATCTAATTATGCAACCACATTTACTAGTAGAGCCTTGTTGAACACATTCATAACACGAAAAAGCTATCCAATTTCTATTCATTGTAAGCTTGTACAATAGAATTACTAAAAATACATACTGAAAACATCAATTAACTTTTCGAGTTCTCGCAGAGATCTTCAAGAACTAGTATCAGTAAACAACACAAGTTGCATAGCAATTATCACTCATCCATCAGATGGTGACACTAGGAACCAGTTGCATTACAAGAACAAAAAAAACCATTGTAATCCCACAAAGTAGGGGTAGGGGAGGGTAGAATATGCGCAAACTTTACCATTACCTTAAAGATAGAGGGTTGTTTCCGATAGACCCCAGCTCAATAGAAAAAGTCCAAAGTGGAATAGGGAGAAATAACAGAATAAAGAAAGTCATGGAAAAATACTACAGACAACCAGACAAATCTTCCTAAACAATAGCCATAAGTCCATAACACACTACAATGATATCAACGTGTGAGAAAACCTACAAACAATAACCTAAGTCAAAGGACAAAAACTACAAGAGTAATACTACTACTGGTATGACTAATAGTAAAGAGGAATAAGCGAGACAATGCTCAACTAACTAACTAACCTCGTATCCTAATATGTGTCATCCATAACCTCTTATTCAAGTTCATGTCCTCGGTAAGTTGAAGTTGTGTCGTGTCATGTCATATCTAATCACCTCTCCCCAATACTTCTTCGACCTACCTCTACCTCTCTTGTAACAATCTATAGTCAACCTATCACACCTCTGCACTGGGGGCATTCGTGCATCTCTCTGCACATATCTAAACCATCTCAGTCTCTATTCCTGCATTTTGC